TAACATTACAACTATTTCAGAAATGCGCATGACAGGAAGTCCGGAGCAAATAAGAATTAATGATATAGTTCTTCAGCGGAGAAACGGAGTTTGAAAGATCCCTCTGTTCTAGTTGCAACAATGAATGGCAAAATCCAAAGAAATTCTCTTTTTCAAAATGAAAATGATTCTCTACTACACCCTCTGAGCAGTTTCTAAATTATATCGTACTGCTCACTACCAGTACGAATATCCTTTAGGGAGACCTTTTTTCAAATTATTTTAACTTCATTTTTGAGAGAAAAGAATACAAACACTCTGTTGTCTTATTTCAGTTCCTTCACATTAAATTATCTCGAAGAAAGTATTTAAATATCACAAAAGTATTTTTCAATACAACTTCGCATTTTGAAATGAAAAGTTACATATTTATGTATACTAAATAATATATTTTGAACATACATTGTTTACATATTTCATGCAAACAACTAAGAATTAAATGACAAAATCTTCATCGATTGAAATTCTCTTCGCGACTAAATTCCTAAGTATACTGTCTAGGTTTCTTGAAATACTTACAAGAAGATATTATTGTTTACATAAGCAAAAAATCGCTTTGTGTTGTTAGCAATTTTCCTTAATATAATAAAAGTTTTCTTAACGATAACCTTCTTAAGAACACCGCATTTAAATATGGTCAGCATTTATGAGACTATAAATAAACATCTGCATTAAACGATCCACTTGCACAGACACTTGTTCACTAGGACGAGGACTCCACAGAAGACTAAAGATTATGTCAAACCTTATGTTACCGAGACAGTTCTCTGTATCTATCTAAAGACAGTTCTCTGTATCTATCTAAAGACATTTATCTGTATCTATCAATTAACCGATTTCTTAGCTTAACCATAAAAAAGTATGGGATAACTGCTCACCCATGCACCATGATATTTATAAATAGAAAGTAGTTCCTTCGATTTCATTAGTTTTTGATTACACATTGTATTGTATGGACCGGCATATATGTAGACAAAAAAATCTGAAAGGATTTTAACATCATGATATACAAATGTAGAGGTTTTTCTACCCTCTCGTTTGGCTTGTAGTTTACCGTTTTAACTTTATTAGTAAATATAGGTTTTTTGGTACTAAAATTCAACAGCAAAATCGCAAAATCTTTAAAAACAGCATATATTCAGAACTCACGATTCTCGTATTAGGTTTTGCCATACGTAATTATTCTCGAATATCACTTTTGTTTCAGTTACTTTCTTTGTTCGCTTCACATTTCAAATAACTAGCTAAAATAGTTATGAAAAGAAAAAAAAAATATATGCAATGCTTTTAATAAATCCAGCTAGTGTCATGTCACAGTTCCAGCTGGTAATTAATTAAAGAGATTATGAACTGCATTTATTGCTTCTAAGTTTTATAGTTTGTTAATTAATAAGTTGATAAATGTTCCTGAAAAATTAAATATCTTACGATTCGCCAAAGGAAAAGAAACTCGGGATGTTGCAGTTAAAGATATTTTATATCGGATACCTTTAGAACTCTTGATGAAGTGTTAAATTAGAATCTGTGATTTTGCTTCTGAAAACTTGCTTATATTTGTAAAATTAAAAGTAATAATAGTTCAAAAATAATTAAAACATACATCTAAATCTATCGTACCTTTTTACTTCCTTGTTACGAAGTAAAGGAAGTATTGTAGTCGTGAAAAATTTCAGGTATCGTATTTCAACGAAAATATCCATTTTGACCGTACTCGATTCACTTTGAAAGATTTTTTTTGTGTTACATTTGTTTGCACGGACAGAATAAAAGGCTCTTTTTCCCAAAAAGGATCATCAAATGGATTTAAAATGGATTCAGAAGAGATTTCTTTTTCGTGACATCTGTACGTACGTGCCTATGTATGTACATATCTCGCATAACTGAAATACGAGTAGCCTCAGAGAGCTGAAATTTTGTGTATGGGACTGCTATAATGTGTTGAGGTGCACCTCCCTGTTTGGTTGCAATCGGCCACAATAAAATTATATATATATATTGAATGAACTAAAATTCATTGAAATTGAAAACAAGTTTTTCTACGGAGTGGTAACAGAGCACATATATATATCCACTCCGTTACCTGGCTCGGTGAGCTAACTTTTTGCATGTTGGTAAATTGTGTATTTTGTCTTTTAAAAGTGATTAAATTATATTGTTCTTATGTTCCGGTTAAGGTTTCTATGCCTTCAGTTAATCTGCATACAATTATTATAGAACTATCAACAATTTAAAAATTGTTTAAGTTCCACTAATTCTAACAACGCGTCCATTTGTTTACGTTTGAAACTTAGTAGAGTGGGGCCAACAGTTTTGTGCGCCAAAAATCTGTCTTTCTGCCTGATTGTAATTAATTTAAACTCTAATTTTTATTGTAAAGATTATTTTTTAACGGTTTTTAACTCAATTTGGTGTTTCAGGTTTTTCTGTATTTTACAATTTTTAATGAAGTTATTTTGAGTTTTTATGTATTTTTTCCTTGCCGTGAGGTGAGAACTAAATTGATTGAATGGGATTGAAATGAATTGATTGAATGAGAAATCTCTAATGAAATTCGGGGAAATAGAAATGCAGCAAAAAATGTCCATAATTCAATGTCCAAATCAGTTTTTTTAAAATTTTTTTCTCATATTCTTAGTCTAATTCTTAATTAAAGTAATTTACATGCAATTAACTGCATTATAAATTATGTGATATGCTGCGTATAACAGAGAGAAAGGTTTGGCGCCGATGAACAAACCACTTTTTTAAAACAAGTAGACGCATTGATAACTCAAATTGTTCATAAAAGTTACAGTAGTGGCTCCATCTACGAACAGGCATTAAAAGCAGTGCAATTTCTGTCAGGGAGTAACGAACCATGGAACTTTGGCTTCAATGAAGAGTACTTAAGTATTGTAATTAAAAATACTTATGCGAGAATTTAAGCGACTGAATTAAATTTATAGCAATCTCGCATTCATAAGGAAAAAAGTGGTGATCTATCTTTTCTTTGAGGAAGCGAGGTAGGCACAAATATTTTTTTGTCACTGATATAATACTTTCTGAATCTTTTCAACCATTCACCTTCTTACTACGAAATCATTACGTAGCCATGCAAATCACTTATGCCTTGTTCTCATATTATTCCATCAAATTACCATTAATTTTACGCTCCAGGTAATCTTTAATTATGTGCCTCAGATAACCGTTAATTATTTATTCGCTGTGCTTCACGATATTATCTTGAACGTATAACATACATTTGATGCTTAGCTTAAAGATTTGAGTGTGGATTTGGAATGATGAATTAGTTTAAAATTAATCTTATGATCAACTACTTGCAGTAGTTCAATAGTAGCCATTTTACAGTATTTAAAACACCGTGAAAAACTTTTACTGATTTTGTTACTTTAACATAGCAAAAAAAAAGTAGTGTCTATATAGTCATGATTACAGTTTGTAGAACCCTGTATGAAAACTATTCAGGATAAGATAAACAGAAATACATTGCTACCCTTAACGAAGCATGGAAAGGAAGATCTCTTGAAGATCCCTTAAAGATTCCTCCTTTACGAAAATACCTGGACAATCCTAAAAATGGTGGGAACTATGCTTCCCGTTGAATGCTGCAAGTTTGGTTTTCCCCTCTTCATAGATTCATTCTTTGATGGAAGATAAGAAAATAATGCTACTGTTTCGTTATCAGTTACAACTGACTAGAAAATATTTTTCTGATTTGCACTGTACTACTGCAAGAATTGCTCACAACAAAAGACACATTCTTCTTTTTTCTTCTGTTGATGATTCTTTTTGTTTCTCTTCTTCACATGTAGATATTCATGTAAATTGTGGAAAACATGTTTTCGAGATAGAACCTATCTTGCCTCTATCTCCTTCCCTTATTTCTTACATGTAAATATTACCTAGTTGGCACAAGCGATATTTCTTAAAATACCTTCAATAGTCTACTTTCGCGAAAATTATCTGCTGTGGACTGCCATTCCATGCGAACTGGTTTTACGCAATCGTTTATTGCAGACCAAAAAGGGAATGATTCAGATTGTACATTATACAAGCTCTGTTTTATTTTTGTGGATATAAGGCATTTTAGTTAATCAACTTGTCTTAGGACTCCCTCCCTCAGTGTTTAGTTCCCATGCGAGTTTGGTCTCATTTTATCAACCCACTCAAAGGAAGAAAGGCTGAGTTAACCTTGCCTCAGTCCGGGAATCGAGCCCTGGAACTGTAGTGCTGCTGCGCGACGCGCCAGTCACTGCGCCACCGCGAACAATAAAAAGTATAACTAAATTAAATATGCTTGCGGTTTCTGAAAATATACGATTCAGAAAACATTTTTAATTTTTCGATTTCTCCAACCTGAAAATATCATTTTTATAGTTATGGAATCAGTTTCTGAGAAGACTGATGACACGAAGTTGTCATTTAATAACAAACCATGGAAAAATCCAATTTCAATAAAGAATAAAATCAATAAAGAATAAATCAACAATCAATAAAGAATGAAATTTGTTTAGATCACCAGTTGAAAGAGAAGTTTTATTGAAGTATTTTATAACGCAATTAAAAAGTTATTGACTCCGATGGAATGCCTAAAAGAAGTAACTCCAGATAAGTAGCAAATAAATTCATTTATCAACATAATTAATGAATTTTACATTACAGAAAGAAGTAAAATATTACTTAGTAAATATATTAAATTTTAAGTGAAAAGAACCTCGTAATTTATTTCAAACACGTCATACTCAAATAATATAACTAAAATTTACTGTATTACTGAGCACACTACAAAAGAAATGAAAATATAGAAATAAATGACACTAATAAAAAATAATTAATATGTTAAATATTGCTTTAAAAGAAATGTATCTAAACAAAAAATTGGTATCTTGAGATTCAATTGGATTGAAACCCAAAAGCGGGGCTTAAAGAAAAATGCTTTGAAATGAAATTAACGTACTCACCTGAATCTAGAACGTGAGCTTTTTCGAAACCAAGTATAGCTGTATATTGATCTTTGGAGTTCTTAGGAACTAAAGTTGTCCACATAGACCGGTAGGATGATTGCACATTTATAGATGCGCCATCTTTAAACCAGCGTACCTGCATTGCACTGGATCCTTGAGTGATGCAAGCAAGACTTAGTTCAGTACCTTCAACTACGGGCATTTTTTCTGACGCATCGATGCTTTGAATACTGAGTGCTGAAAGTGACAAAATAAGAAGGATTAGATATCAGAAATGTTTGCATTTTATTGAAAATCATTTATCAAATTTTAAACTTCTGAAGTGAATAATAAGGAATGAGTTACCAATTAAAAATAACGGAATCCAAGTCTTCTTTGCATTTAAATTAAGGAAAGTGCTGATTCTTTACATACACTAGTGAGCAAAACTTACACAACAAACTCAATTTTCAACATACAACCAGGGAATTGTCGAACCCTCCATCATACTACCAGCGTTCAGCGGTCTTAAGACCTCAGCCACTGGTGGCCTGCTGTGTAACTAGGAAATATATTATTTTGAAAAAAGAATAAATATATTTAACCAAGTTCCAGGAAATTTTGAGCTGAAACATCGACTAGATTTAGAGATGACATAAGTTGTTACCTGATATAATGCCTAGCTGGAGGAACTGGTTCGCACATTTTTTAACATCAATAGAAAATCTGTTAACTCAAAGAAGTGTTGCTTATGAGAGTTTCTTACTCGCAGCACTGCTTTGGGAATTTTATTATGCAAATGTGTATAAGTATCCCAGCTTACGCATCATTCATCTAGACATATGTCTGCTAAGCTGGGTGTACACATTCTTTTCGAGTAATACCATCAAAAGTAAAATGGATAGCTGTTAGAGATTTATTTTGAAGCTGATTATTTAAAGCATATTGTCAAATCAAAGAGAAAATCTACAGTATCCTGTTAAAATGAGCACCACAATTACCAGATTCAAAGCTTTAAAATATATTTTTAACATTCCCGCGTTAGCAAACTGCAAATGTTTCGTGTGATTTTGCAGCTTTTATAGATTTTTGCCATAAAGGATATCCGTCATTGATAAAATGCAGGCTTTTGCATTGATAAAATTAATGCTTTTGCAATTTCTCATTGATAAAATGCGTGTTGGCGAGCTCCACGTTCGTATCTCTCAAACTCCTCACAGTGTGTGTATGGCAAAGTCTTGAGGGCTATCTGCCTAAAGGGAGGGATGCCTTCGTGGAGGACTTTCTAAGGGAAACTGGTTCGTATACACGTTACACATGGGGAAAACCACGAAAACGCTCATGCAGCCAGCCCGTTCGCGGGATTCAAACCTCGGACCGAACTACTACTTGTTCAGCCTCTTTAACGTTCGGCCGCTGGTGGGCCGCCAAACTCCTTACAGAAAAATGGCGATTTACGCGAGCAGAAATCTACCGTTCGTCAGGCTTCTGTTCATAAAAATGTTTCGCTGGCGTAAATCGTTAACGAGCGTAAATTGTTAGCTGGCATTAATTTTCTAAATCCCATTTTCGCACACTTATTCCAATGCAAATTTTTCTTATTTCCGGTCTCTTCTACCAACCTTTTATATTTCTGCTAGAAGCCTTGAATTGCCTTATATAATAAATTGATATTTCTTTACATTAATGAGAAATGCATTTTTGACGGTTAATAGAAATGGTTAATTTCAGAAATTGGACCAGACTGTCTCTAATGACTTCTGCTTTATTTAGTAAGTATTAACTCATAGCAAGAGGCATATAACTGGCATTATTGAAGAAGTTCAGCACTTCTCCGACATCTTTAATAATGCTGACAGTGCGATGAGCGGAAACGAAATTCATTAAAAACAGGAAAGTACCAATTTTCCTTTCACATAACTTTAAATTGCTTCTGCTCCAATTTCACATGTAGTAAAAGTTGAAAGAAAAGTGGCGTATAGAGAGGTTACGACTTAATGCAACTAGAAAAAGATAATATTATTTTAATAAGCCGAACTCGATGGTTAATGCGATCTCGCACTGATTCATTCACAAAACAATTACACATATTAGAAACTATTCTATAAACGAAGAACGAATGTACAAAAACCTGTATTCTAAACATTAAAAAAAATCTGATGTGGATACCACATGAATTTTTTATGTGGCCTCTAAAATTACACATATCTTTACGGCATTTCATTTAAACCTTTATTTTCTCGAATTTAGTTATAGATATATTTCTTATTCAATTAATTAAGTTGTCAATTCGCAGCAAGGTAAAAATGCATAACTCTCAAAACATCTTCTTTAAAAATTGCGAAATACAGAAAAACATAAAGCACCAAATGCAGCTAAAACGATTTTCACAATTAAAATTTTGTTTTTACGCATAGGCAAGCAATTAGGCCAGCGGACGGTGCATAAAACCGAAATTTTAATTTTGGCCCCACTCGGCGAAAAAGACACTTAAATTAAAAAACATAACTTATTTCACTGTTCTACTAAGATTTTTCAAATGTAAACAAATGGCGCTTCCACTCAAGTTAGTGGAACTTAGCTACGTTTGAATTGTTTTAAATAATTCTTTAATTATAGCACGCAGATTAACTAAAAACATAAATACCTTAACCGGAACATAAGAACAACATAATTCAATCACTTTTAAAGCAAATAAAAAAAACTGAGCTTCCCCGAGGTGGCTAACAGAGTGGGTGTGCTAATATATTTACGGTGAAACACCGAAATCTGTAGAATGTCGACTTTCACCGGTGAATGCCAATATTCACATAGTCTGTTGGTGTATGTCCGAAATATTTTCCAAATACTCTTATTTCTGACTTACACCGGTCAATGTCGACATTCACCATGTACTAATGGTGAATGTTGAACATATAAGAATATTATATTTTCTTCTCCGTAATTCAGTCGCGAATAAACGCACTTGAAACTTGAAATAAGAACTTAAGAACATGAGAACCTAAAACACACAATACATTCAAAATGAGAAAGGAAAATAATAGAAGTTAAAAACTTACTTAATCATACAGTACGTTCTAAATGGGAAAATAATATAACAGTAATAAAAACCTTACTAAATTATGTGATTCAAATCTTATTTATTGCAACAACTTAAACTATTATGGCACTTTATGACCTCTCTTTTCGACTTTCACCAGAGCATATCTGTGATTGTCGACATACACCGGTGAGGGTCCGAATATACAAGAATGTAGTAAAATATTCGGTCTTTCACCGACGTATTTGGTGAATGTTGATATTCTCCGGTGAAAGTCGACGTTCTCCAATTTCGGTCTTTCACGGTAACATATGCTTATATGTGTGTATATAGTTGGTGCGGCCGATGGCAAAGACAGGTGCACAACTACATGTTATAGCAATCTCATATACAAAATCTAAACATTCCGAGGCTATTCGTTTTTGAGTTATGCGAGAAGCATACACACGTACGTACGTACGTACGTGCAGACGTCACGAAAAATCTCTTCTGAATCCATTTTAAAGTCATTTTTTAATCCTCTTTGGGGAAACGATATAACGTATAGATGTCACGCAAAAATATCGTTTAAATAAGCGGTCGGTAACCGAAAACTTTTTGATGGTCCGCAGAAAAATTGGGACATTATTTATATTTTTTATGAAGATTCAGTTTAAAAAATGACGAGTAACAAAACCTATTATGGAATATGGATTATACATTAAAAAAAAATAGTCACTACGTTTAGCGAAATTCCTTCTGAATTTAGCGACTTTTTAGCTACTTTTGCAGGTGTCTCTAGCGACATTTGAAAGTAAGAGTTGGGCATCCATGGATATAATACTACTGTTATCAATAATAGCGAGAACTGGAATTCTCTTTCATTTTGAATTACAATATATGGTATTGTGGTCGTTAATAACACAGTTTTTCTTCGTGTCAATAGGCATCTTAATGGATTTTTATGAGAACCATCAGCATTCTTGTTTATAATTGCATCACTGGAAGTTTGCGTTTGTGTTTTGTCTAACTGTTGATCAATGGTGCCATTACTGAGTAAGCGATGTTTATTATGTTTACAATAAATTTAAATTAGCAGCATAATACTGTCAGTTTATTGATATTGATTTGCGTTTGCCGGTTTGTTCTTGCTTTTCAGTGAAGTTCCTTTTCAGTGATATGGAAACGTGAAACTTTCTTCACAAGAAGGTAAGATTTTTGTGCTTTTCATGTAATTTTTCAATGTGAGCGAAATATGTGTAGTTTGCTGACTATTATTGCATAAATGTATTTGCCTTTTTAAAATTCATATTAGTGGTCCGCCAAATATAAAATTATATATGTAGTGGTCCGTGAAGTTCTAAGGGTTGACGACCGCTAGTTTAAATGAATTCGAGAGCGGTCAGAATGGATATTTTCGCGATTATAATACTTTCTTTACTTCTTACAAGGAAGTAAAAAGTATTAATTTTAACAAATAATAATTGTTTTTTTCAAAAACATATACATTTTGAGTACCATCATAAATATGAAAGAAAAGATACGTTTTAAATTAAGTAAAATAAACAAGGAATTTAATAGTAATTTATATAATGCCTAAAAAATTCCAGTTTTATTTAATTTCTGGGAAAAGTTCAGAATTCCTTTTTATTGCCCATGATGCTAAAAGAAAATTTAAGTAACTATTGACTAAATTTTAGACTGCATTATAAGCGTCTGAAACCTTAAATATTTGATATGGTATATGAAAAGTACTGTAAGCGAAAGATTTAGAGTATTAAGAGCAGTTGAAAGCCTATGAAACTTTAAAGTAGAATCGATTTGCGGAAATTCAGGTTGAAAAAAAAATGTAAAACTCCATTTCCATCTACAAAATTGAATAATATCCCTGCACTCGAGAATTTTCCTGAGGGGCCGTCTGGTTCTCTGACCAGCTGCTATTTCAAATCGATATCCTCTAGAGCGTTATTGGATCATACTGGACTGAGGCATCACTTTGAATTTAATATTTCTGACAGAATTCCTTGATTCTTTTTTTTTTTACGATTTTTCATAGAATTATTTTGAATACTATAAGTGAAAAATAACAATGTGTAATATAAAAAAAAAAAAAAAAAAAAAAAAAAAACCCGCTTTTTGAATTCTGAAAAAGGGAATTCATTTCAAAATATTTAATATTGGAGTTGATTGCTGATTGAAAATTGGTCTTTAAGTCCACATGAAGCTGTCGTCAGTAGGC